GGATCCCTGGGTGGGCCACACCTCTGCATAGCCTGCAGTGAGTTTTAACCCTGATTAAGTACGTATATCAATGGCTACACTTTGGCACTGGCAGCCACCTGCAAAGCACACAAGATAGTTCTCATTCAGAAGGAGCTGTGGGCAGTTGTGGAGGTGAGCTCACTCTAATCACAGGAGATGCCAGCAATGGGTATTGAAATCTAACATTACATGCATTACAGGCATACCATAACGTTAAAGTTTGCTGAAAGATTACAGCTGAGTTATGGCTGCTCAGTATAATTCCACTTCTTTAAAGATTTATGGTTCCAGAAAATACATACAATAAGTATAGCAAAACGTCTCTGCTTTTGCGAGCCATTGATAAAAATTAGTTTGGTAGTTGAACCAAAAGTATAGTTCGCTGAATAGTTAAAATTATAAAGGTGAATAGAACTTAAAAAACTTATTTTTTAATTCAGTGGCAGCCATTAGGGTCTTTACCCCCTCTGACCTTTGCAGACCCCAGGGGTTTGCCTGGCGTGCCCAGGCCGGGGGAGAGGTGGGGTTTATGTGCTGGAGGAGTGTATGGGTTGGTGGCAGGAGCATCTTGGACAAGAGGAATGAGCCATGCCTCCTCTCCATTAGAAGGCACCAGAGATCCACCACGGCGCTCCCATTTCTCAAGCCAGGAAAGCTGGCAGTGGCTGTTGCACATGACAGGTGACAGAGAGACCACTTCACTCCCCTGAGCTTCTTTTTCTATATGAGTGAAAAAATTCCCCAGCTTGGGACATGCCTCCTGTTTCTGAGCTGGCACAGTAGAAAAGCTCCATTTCTTGAGAAAACTGGGGGACAGGTTTATCTGATTTTTTTCCTAAGTATGCTCTCTTTTTGTTGCAGACCAAAGCCCCAGCTCTGGGACAGGAGTCTCTCTGTTTCCCATGGAAAATGAATCCCTCTGCTACACCAAGCAGAATGGTGTTTTCCCATTGCCCAGTGGGGAACAGAGTTGGCTGTTTCACAGGAGCACTTGCAGATCTGCCTTCTGTCCTCTCATTTGCCTACTCAATAATCAAGCTTAATATTTCATTTCTGCAAACATACAAGACCCTGAAACTCTTCAGATGACCCACTCTGGACTACTACTTTTGTAATATCTCCACAATTGATTCTACTAGTTTTACTGGGTTTGTCCTGGGTTATAGCTTTTGTTGGAAATAAAATCTGAACAATAATGTTTAGAAAAGGATTCTAATTACTTAAAGAAAAATTTTCAAGCTTCATGTACATCACTCACATGAAAAGTCGAATAGAAAGGATTCTCCATCCAGCAAATTTTAGTCTCTTCAGGGAAAGTTGCTTTGGATAGGCAGAAAACCACAGGTGGATCCTCTGAAAGGTAGAGTTTGGTCTTGGGCTGGGAAGGAAATCTTGGGCATCTCCTGGTGCTGGAGCTGTATATAAATCACTGCAACTCCCTGCAGCATGAATACCTTATCCTACCCACCAGAGATGGTTTACTTCAAACGCTTTGTTACTTGATTTCTGTGTGGTAACTGCTGGATCCCCATCCTCCCTGCAAGGCTGTGCAGGTCATCTCCCAGGACGGGAGCTGGTGTCCCGACGTGGAGCCCACCTGTCCCCAGAGCCCTTGTACGTGTCCTCACCTCAGAGCTGGGTCCTGAGGACAGATGTCCCCTGGCCCAACCCCGCTCTGCAGGAATCCAGCCTCTTTCTCCCTCCGCAGTCCATGGGTCTGTGTTTCAGACGCTCTGAATTGGTTTAGATAGCTTAGGAGAGTCCCAGCTGTGTTTCAGCTTATTGGTTCTTCTCTAAGTAACACATGAAATTGCTAAAATTGGGTAACTGCTCTGACTTCTGTCTGCCCTGGGGCAAGGACTGCTCTTTCTCAGAGCTCTGGGAGTCTGAGCCTGCTCCTGGCACTCAGGAATGCGAGCAGAAAAGCCAGAGTCGGAAGAGTATGATCATTGGGATGGGAAATGTGGTGTCTCTCTTATGGGATCCTCCCAGGGGGAACGCGAACGGGCAGGGGAGGCAGCGAGCCTCGTACCAAGATCAGAGGGACCGAGGCTCGGACGGGGCCGCCCTCTGGAGCTGCCCCCGAGGCGGGGGCTGGATGCGCCCGGGCACGGAAGGCGGAGCCCGCATCCCCCTTCCAAAAAACAACAGAGGGCCAGGCAGGAGGCGGATAGAGGAGAAAGGATAACCCCGGGGCGAGGGGCGGCAGAGCGGCTCCGGCGGTGGGGCCATCAGAGGGACTGTCGTTCCTCGCCGCAGGGCGGGCACGGGGACAGGCACAGGGACAGGCACAGGCACAGGCACAGGGACACCTCCCTGGCGGCGCGGCGGCCCCGGGGGGCGGTGGCGTGTCCGTGGCGAGTGTCGCTGGCGGTGCCGCAGGCTCCTCCCGCCGCCACCGGGGCCCCGCCGGTTCCTCGGCTCCCCCGGCCCCGGCTCCTCTCCTCCCGCCGGCGGTGCCACCCGGGCCGGCGGCTGCTCGCTGCCTGCGAGCCCCAGGTAGGCGCCTCCCGGTCGTGCTTTCCGGAGCGGGTCTGAGCCGCGGTCCGTGCCGGTGGGCGGGGGGCGGCAGGGACGGCGCTCGCTGCTGGCGGCGGCTCGGGACGCGCGGGGTCCGGCGGCAGCTCCGCCGCTGCCCGCAGCGCGCTGGGCCGGGGGTCGCCCTGCCGGAGAGCCGGCTGCGGCGAGGAGAACCGCAGAAGACTCCCTTAGCTCCGGAGGAGACGCCCAGCGCACTGATGGTGAAACTCAGGGCGCCTCTCCTCGCCCTTCCCGAGCGCCGTTGTGGCTGCGGGCGAGTTCGGGGTCATCGTTCGTTCCTCTGGGACCGAAGCTCAGGGTGATGTCCCTCCGGGCTGTGCCACCGCCCAGTCCCAGCTCTTCGGCGGAGCAGTGCTCGGGTAGTGCAGAGGCCGTGAGAGAAAGTGTCTGTGAACCCCTGGAGGCAGCCGTCCCCTTCCAGGGTTTCGGCAGTACCCATCAGGGATGTCTCTGCCGGCGCGGCTGGTGCGGATCCTTCGGCTGAGCCCCCCGCCCCTCCCTGTCCCCCTGCGCTCCCGTCCCCTCAGCGCATCCTGCTCGCCGTGCAAAGCCCGCAGCTGGCTGCATTCCTCACTTTGGCGTGGGGTTTCCATTCATCTCTCGTGACCGAGGCGTGCTGGAGCCTGCGGGGCTGGGGCGGCCCAGCAGCGCCTGCCGCCTGTGAAACCCCCGCGGCGGCCGGGGAGCCCCGAGCGCTGCGGAGCCGAGCTGAGCCGGGCTCCGACCCTGCATGATCTTAGCGCGGAAGCGCCGGCAAATCTGGCCCGAGGAAAAGTCATGATTTTAATAGTTTTGTGACTTTGCAGCGTGAAACAGTGAAAGATTTATCATTTCCATCCCCCGGCTTCACTTTGTAAAGGTGCAAATACTTGTAATTATTACTCAGGCTAGCTTAACTTCAAGGAACATCTGCACTCTTTCTTCAGAGCTTATATGTATTGATGTATTTTCAAAAATGAACTTGGCTCCAAACTGCTGTGCAAGGAAGTTTCCTTGGGAACCTGTGATTTCGTTTATGGCTGTTGCATCTGAAGGTCTATTTTTATTCTGAAGAGTAAGTTTTGGGGCTCAAAAAGAGTTACTACTATGGGTTTGTTTGAGACTGAAGGCTCGATCTGTTCCTGCCAGAAGCACTGAAGGGAATCGTAAACATTTACTGCTTCATTTGTTTTATTGCTGGATCTTGTTTCAGTTCTGAGATGGGAAATTAAGATTTTGTTTTGGTTAGCTGGAGAAAACAGGCTGTGTATGCTGGTGGGGTAACTCATTGTATCCCATGACAGACCCAGTTCCCAGTAATTCTCTTTTCTCCAACATATTTCTTATAATTCCTCCCTTTTCTGCTTCAGTACCATAATTTTGTTAATTTAAAGAAGTGAAGTTAGTTAGTAGGTGTTTCCAAAGTGTAGATCTGAGAAAATGTTCAGTGAACATACGGATGCCCTGGAGAATGCTCTGGGCTGGACCCAGTCCAGATCTTGCCACACTGGTATTCCCTCATTTTGTTCTTTTAAGGCTTTGTACTTGCAACAAGGAATAAAGTTGTACATCACAGGAATATCAGTACCAAAACCAAGCACATAAAGGTGCATTGCATGTGAATGCTTAAAAAATATAGTGGCTGCTGTACCTTACAGAGAGTGTTCAAGCTCTCTCAAGTGTCAGTAAACTCTACAGACAAGTCAGGAAAGATTGGAAAATTCCTGTGCTCCCTGCTAATGAACAGACCAGTCCCTTTGCAGTGGGAGAGGAAATCCAGTCACTGCAGCCAGCATCAAGCCAGAAATCAGGTTTGCTCTTCTGTTCATAGTTCATATCCAAAAAAATCTGAAGAACCTGAGTGGAAACTATACCTTGATTTTACATGGAATCTTTTCGTTAGAAATACCAGAATGGTATGATTTTTTTTCCCCAAATGAAAGACTTGTGTAACTGCTGAAATCAAAAGGTTGACACTGTGAATTTCTTCTTCTGTAGCTTTTACCCTTCCACATGACCTCAGTAGTCAAAAGTGCCTTTTGGTCTTATCTAGCCAAGTCAGTATGTCCATTTATTTTGGATATTGGTCCCACTGCAGTTAGTCACCCCTAAAGCTACAAAGTACATGCTGGATGATACAGAAAATATGAGCCAGAACCTTGGATCTTTGGGTCTGCTGGTCTGTTCCTACCCTTCCTGTAGCGGGCAGCAGTCCCGATCTGAGGCACAAGGTTACGGTGTTACTGCTTTCTCTAGGGAGCTCCATTGCAATGTGCTTTTCCCTGACAGTCAGTCTTGTCCCCAGAGCAGAGAACCTCCAGTGAGACATTCACAGGCTGTAAGTGATGAACTTTTGCTTCCTGCCCTCTGCAGGATGCGTCAGCAGGACGTTGCCAAGGTCTGGCAGGACTGACCCACAGAACTGCACCAGAGGCTTCGAGTGTGGGAGCAGAACCCAGAGGAGTGAGAGTGCTGAGCCTGGGCTGAGCACACCATGGGGGCAAACACCTCCAGCAAGTCACCACCCTTTGATGGGAATGAGGAAGGTAAGGACTCTTCCTGTTGTTGTCTGGGGCTGCAGAGTTCTCCAGTGCAGGCTGGCTGTAAGGGTGCCAGCCAGCACCTGTGCTGAGGCTGCAGACACCTGGGTGTCCCAGGCCAGCAGAGTGTGTGGAGGTCAGCAGCAGCAGTGTGCCCGTGGTCTGGTGTTGGGGTCCCTGCTGGCCTCCCCTCCCAGCAGCTCTGAAAGCAAAACTGTCAGCAGAGGTTTTGTTGAGGAGCCCCTGGGGCACTGCCAGGCACCTCGGAGGCAGGGACAAAATGCTGCTGCTCTGGGGGCTGGAGAGATCTATTCTGGAGGTCCCAGTGTAGGGAGGAGTGGTAGGAAGAATGGTGGGAAGGTGGCTGGAGCGATGGATGTTCCCATGGGTGCTCCTGGTGGCTGCCCAGCTGGGCAGGACCGCCTGCAGGCACTGGGAGGCCAAGCCTGCAGGTTGGGTTGGCTGGAAAAGGAGCTGGAAAACTACTGCTGGGAGCAGTATCAGAGGCCAGGGTCCCTGTGCTGCCAAGATTACAGAGACAGTCATTAAAAGATTGCTCCATAAATATATTTGCTGTTGCATGAGTCAGCTTGCTGACTGCCATATGGGCTTTCACCTAGGTACAACAACAATATGCATATGTAGATAAATACAAATACATAGTACTAAACATAAAACATATGAAGAGCTGGATACCCCATCAGCTGCTCTTTCAATGTGCTGTGTGGTGCCCCTGCCAGTCTGCAGCTGCTCAGCAAAACCAGCTTCAGTTTCCAAATTATTAATGCAACTGCTTACAGATTTTCTTTGGTTTTCATATTTTTTTCATTTTCTGTAGCGCAAAAGAAATCTATGCTGTGAAGTTTTCCTGAAGATTTTATTCCTGGTGCATCGAAATGCTCAGTATTGGCATTTTTCATAAGCAACCACTTAGGCTTGCATGGGTTAATGAGCAGTTCTGTTCCTGAGCACCTTCCTCAGGGTGGTGTGCTCTGGCTGTGGGATTTCCCTGGGAGTGGCTGGTCTCTGCTGGGTCTCTCTCTGCGTTCAGTGTTATGCAGCCCCAGCTTCTGTGGCTGAGAAACACAACTCCAGGAAAGGCCCTGTCCTGACCCTGCCTGATCTGCCAGTGACAGAGGCTGACCTAAGGAACTTGCCTTTGAGGCTGAACCATGGAGGAAAAAAAGCCCCGTTAAACACACCAAGTTTAAACAACACCCAAATCTTCAAAATGAACAGAGCTTTTCTGTATCCTTCATTTTTCTCAGCTCATAGGGATAAGGAAGTAGAAATAACATAATATTGTCAAATGTTTGCTCAGCCATTTAATATTGAAATGTTGCTCTTTCTTACAGTTACCTTCGACCATTTTGAGATTTTGCGAGCTATTGGGAAGGGCAGCTTTGGAAAAGTGAGTGTTTTGGAATGTTTTGGAAACTAATCACCATGTGGGCAGCTGGAGATGTAACTGGGAGGAAATAGATGAGTTGGAGGCTCACATGAGAGTACAGAACCAAAGCCCATGCACTATCAGTGAGCCTTGACCTTCAATTCCTGGTAATCAGAAAGGAATCAGAGCCCAAATCCTTATCCATTCTGTAGCCACAAATCAAAGCCCAGTACCCCTTAAACAAAGCCCGAGATTACCTGTGAACTAACACTTCTCAGGGGAGTGAGGCTCAGGTGCTGGTCCCAGTGTTTGACCTGTAGATCTGTGCTGGAGGGGGCTCTTCCCAGCAGTGTGGGAGGAGTGGACATGATGGTTAGTGAATGGCATTAAATAAATGTTGACTTCTCTGTGATTCCCTGTCTTCCAAGTTGTGATAATAAATTCCTTCCTCTCATCTTCCCCCAAAAATTTCTCTTTGGGTGAAATCCCCAAGAGATTTCCAGGCAGTGTCCAGTGTTGCAGCATTGGTGGATGGAGTTGTGTCCTGGCAGTGTCAGCACTGCCAAAGCTGCTGGAAAACACTCACGTCACTGGGTTTTACCTGCCCAAATTTGCTGACAAATCCTCTCTGTTTTATCCCCTGATTGCTCTCTTAGGTCTGCGTGGTGCAAAAGACTGACACCAAGAAGATGTACGCCATGAAATACGTGAACAAACAGAAGTGTGTGGAGCGTAATGAAGTGAGAAATGTTTTCAAGGAGCTGCAGATTATGCAGGGCCTGGAACACCCTTTCTTGGTTAATTTATGGTAAGAGGTGGTGCCTTGGCTGCCTGCTTGAGTCAGTTAGAGACACTTTTGAGATCAGACCCCCCTCATCTGCTTCAAGCCTGTCTTGGGAGCAGCTGCTGTGTTCCACTGACTGGGGCTCTTGTTTCAGGAGAATCCTGTTTATTTAAGCAGTTATCTCCCTTGTCCCCTCAGACAGCACAAGGGAGTTTATTCATGTGTCCCTTTGCAGTGTCCCCCAGGCAGGTACTGGCTATCACCACAGCCCCACCTGTATTTAAAGGAGCTCTTTGCAATCACCAGCAACTTCTGGCAGCATGGGACTGATGGTCAGGCAGGGCTCTTTGCTGGCTGTCCCTTGACATTTCTTTCTTCTTAATTTTATGAGTAATCAGTAACAGTTTAACCAGTAACATTCCAAGGGGAGTGAGCTCACATATTGCATGATAAAGTGGCCAATATCCTGTATTTTCAGTATTCCTCTAGGGTCATGGGTAATTACATTTATTGGAAATTTGGTTTTTTTTTAGAATCAAGTAGAAATTATCAATGCTAAGCACACACACACACACACACACACAGACACACACACAAATAGTCTAAAAGACATTGAAGATCAAAAATCCTTGAATAATTCTTCCTTTTTGAAATCTTCTGTAATCTGAGTGTAGTTCAGTGAACTCTTGGTATTTTGCTGCTGTTGCCATTTAGGCTGGTTCTTACTGGGGTGTGAATGGTAAAGGTGCAGCTACACCTCCTATATAATATCTCCAACTTATCTTTCCTCCTTGAACACAAAGCTCCAGGCAAAGCTCACTCAGCAGCTGAAAGCTGACCAGTGTGTGTCTGTGCAGAGATCTGTACAGAGCAAACCATCCAAGTGTCCCTGCTCCCGTTCTTGCCATGCCATCCCTGGCTTCAGGATGCCTTTAGCATTCCTGTGTCTTTCCTGCACTCTGGGTGATAGACAGCCTACAAGCTTTGTGTGGAGCAGTGGTATGGCTTGTGTGCTGGTCATCCCATCAAGCAGGCAGTGTGCTGATAAAGTCCATGAGGAAAGGGCTACAGCTGGTTGTGAGCCCCTCTCAGAGAGACACAGCCCCTCAAATGAGATCACTTAGAGCCCAGCTGCACCCCTGTTGTGCTGAGCACAGGGGGTCACAGCCAGGCTGCTGCCGTGCCTGACAGAGGCACCTCCAGGGCCGGCTCTGGCCAGGGCTGCAGGTCCAGGGCTCCTCTGGTCACTTCCTGTGGTCACTTCCTGCTGGTGCTCGGAGAAGGCAGAATGCCCATCCTCAGTTGTTCATACAGTCTGCTCTGACTCTGTTATGGATCTGAGACTAAATTATTGTTGTCACAAGTGTGAGAATAGTGGGAAACAGAGCATGGAAAGGTCGTGAAATTTGGAGTGAAAAATTCCAAGAAATGTATGATGAGTATTCCCAGAGGTACCACATGTTCCTTTATTACTTGTCATTTTTCAATGCTACTGTCCTTGAACCATGTGTGTGCTGTTCTAGGTACTCATTCCAGGATGAAGAGGATATGTTCATGGTGGTCGACCTGCTGCTCGGAGGGGACCTGCGCTACCACCTCCAACAGAATGTGCGGTTCCAGGAGGGAACTGTGAAACTCTTCATCTGTGAGCTGGTGCTGGCCCTTGACTACTTGCAGAGCAGGCACATCATCCACAGGTCAGCCAGGCCACAGGCTGTGCTGTGGGCAGGCTTTTTTTCCTTGATGTGAAGCAACAAATAGAAGCTTAAGTGATAAACAGCATATTCTTCCATGTGTATTTGCTTTTATGTGAAACACAAGGCATCCCCCAGAAAAGTATTTCATACACAGCAGAAGCTATCTGATTTGTCCTTCTGGGGTAGCTGTGAAATAGCATATTTGATTGCCCACTGATCCTGCAAAAATATGTCTCTGATAGGTTTTAATTAGCTGTAACTCATTAATGTCCATCCTCATCCAGAGAGAGTAGGTGTCAGCACTCAGAACTCCTGTGTTCGTGCTTGAAGGTGTCTCCCTTTGCCCCCCTCTGTATTGCACCAAAATATGAGGACTGGGCCCAAACACAACTTTTTCTTGTGTGAGGTAAATCCCTTTTTAGAAGTGCTGAGAGTTTCTTTTTGGCTACCACAATTTCTCATGGCCAGTGAAAAAAATCCATGAGCTCTTCCCATACCTTTGAAGACCTGCAGAACAGCAGAGGAGGCAGAGGTTTCCCCTGGCTGGGGAGCAGGGTTTGGCTGTGGATGGACAGACACATGGCTCCTCTGCTGGTGTCGTGAACAACGCAACGCTCAGGGGCCCAAGAGTTTAGCCACGTTAGCTGCTGTCAGGGGGGATGAGCAGAGAGGGTGTGTGAGGGTCAGTAATTGCAGGGAGAAGGTCACTTCATTTAGAAACACCGCTGCAGATGAGCATTCTTGTGCAGTATATAAGAATTAAGCATGGAAAGTGTAAAATTGAAATGGTTGTTAGGGGAAGGCACAGCCTGGTGAGGGTGAATGCCCGTTCCTGCCCATAATGTCCAGTGCCATGTCCAAGGAGTGAGGGTAGAGTGACCCCTTGTCTGTCCCTGCAGCCCCAGGAGCTCGGAGCAGTTCTGCTCTGCTGCACCCGGGCCAGGGACAGCTGCCACCTCCTCAGGGTCTCCTCTTTCATACTGCTGCTTTTGTGCTTTACGTGTGGGGATCTTTGCCCCAGTGGGAATAGGAGTGGGAGAAACTGCAGGTGAGGTTGCAGTGTGCTTTTCACACAGCTGCATGTGTTTAAGGTAAATCAAGTACAACAAAACGTGTATGGCAGGCTGTAAAATTTTCAAGTTATTTAATTAACACTGTAATGCAAGTTGTTTAATTAACACTGTAACCCAGTGGGACAGTACTTGATTGATAAAGTGGTTCGGCTGGGGCAATTACACTGCAACAGCTGTAATTTGGAACATCAGGAGACAGGGAAGCAATGGTTTTGTTTGGCTGAACAAAGCTGTGCAGAGACAGCAAACTCAGGCTGTAATTATTTCCCACCTAGTTGTAAAATAATGGGAAATATTAATATATTTTAGGTTAGGAAATTATATAATCAGCTTATAAAAAAGAAATATACAAATTAACAATAAGCAGAATTATGTCTGGTATTTGTTTGCATCCTGAGAATGATCTTACTGTGCTGGTGTAATTTCAGAGGCTGTATGCCAGACTGAGGGAGATCAGAAACAGCCACACTAGAAATTAAAAAGTAATAACTTAAGAAAAAAAATAAAAGGAAAGAGGTCCACTGTGCTTAGGGGGAAAATCAGCTGCTTACCTGACACTGCCCTGTGCTCTGCTAATGATGCCTGTCCCTGTACTCACCTGTGTGATGGGATGGCACCAGGAAGGGAACCAGTGTTTATAACCCACTGGAAGTTGTTTGGGTAACAAGATGCCAGAAAACTGTAAGCTATTAGATGACAATTAGATATACTGTGGGGCTTTGATTCCAGGTGACTTGGAGAACTCAAACTGTATCCTAATGATTGAATTTTAAAGATAAAATCCTAAATGTGTTCATTTCTTCACTGGGAGCTCCTGGGCCTGGTGGGGAGCACCAGCTGGCACAGGGCCACTGCATCTGTTGCCTGCCTCCTGGCTGGGACCTTTTCTCTGGGGCATCAGGTGGCCAGGTGCTCAGTAGGAACTGGTGTAATGAGCTCATTAAAGCCAGGTAATGGCTTGTAAAGTCACTCAGGTGGACACTGTGGCTGTATCAGAGTATCAGGTGTACGGTTTCTCCCTTCAGTTAAAGTGTTTCCCTACAGCACTGCTATAGGTATTATTTTGTGGGGTCCTTTTACTTAGGAATAAAACCTGTGGGTAACCCATTTGTATCTAGAACAAAGACATTAAAATGCTTTAATTTGTACTGGGGACCCCTTCTCATACAGTATTGAAATAGATTGAAAAGTAACAGGAGGAAAACGACAAAAACACTCTCTAACCTAACTGTGGGTGGACTTAGGTGGGTGCTGTCACCCAGACCCCTGCAGCCTGGCAGCGTACCAGTGCTGCTGGTGCTGGTCACTGACTCTCCTATGCCCGAATCAAACGGGAACGTCAGAGCTGAGAAGCCCGAGGCTCTGGGGGTGCAGTGTCTCTGCCAGTGCCCCAGAGCCTGGCTTTCCTGGGGTCACTTCTCCAGGCTAATGGCTGTCTCTGCTTCTCTGCTTTGTTTCTCAGAGATATCAAGCCTGACAACATTTTGCTGGATGAGCACGGTAAGTGCCAGGCGCTCTGCGGTCACGCACGTGTGTAGGAGCAGCTGGAGGCAGGAGACAAGCTGCAGTCTCGTTCTTGCTGGTGCCATCCTTTGGTGTTGGGCTCTCCTGCTCAGCCCAGCTGGGAGCAGGGTCATCCCATCCTTTGTGCTCCACTTGCTGTCTCTTGCTTTTTGAGCAGCAGCATCTTGTACCTTCAGGGCACTGGGCGCCCTGTGATGCTGTGGTGCTTCTGGGGTGGCCTTGGTGTTTTAGCCAACGCCTCCTTTGGCTCACTGACTTGATGGTGTCCCTACAAGACACTGGCAGGGACCATGTGTTTGGTGCTGCTTGGGGCCAGTAGCCCAGCATGCCTGATCTTAACATTTTCTTGGTTCTTGTTTAAAACTTACCCAAAATGCATCATTTGAAGGGCAGTGCTTGTGTCACTGCAGGGTTTGTGCACAAACAGAATTAATTATGGTGCAATGGATAAGCCTTGGTCATGTATTTTCTTTTTCCTTGAGGATTTGGCATGGGGAGGGAGCTCTGAAGAGGATTAGGGGTTAGGTATGTTATAAATGTTGCTATTGGTTTTTCTATAGTTTTTCATAGGCAAAACTCTTGACTGTATTCTTGCATAGCTCTTCAGTCACTTTTTTTTTCCTGGCAAAGATCTCACAGTGAAAAGTTGTCTGATATTTATTAGTTTGTAACTCATTAGAGAAACATTTTGTCAGGTTATATTTTTTTTTAAAATCCAGGTAACTATTGTTGTGAGAAATCTTCATAGCAGCTAGAGCAAGGTGCTTGAAGAGAAAAGTCAGTGCAGGGAGGAGGCATACCTGCATTTGTTACGGCTTCAGAGGCTGTAGCAGAGATGCTGCAGCTCCCGAGGGAAGCACTGCCTGGCTCTGTGACAGGCTGTGTGTGACCGAGGTTGCCTGGCAGCACCGAGCCCAGGCTAGATCCGTTTGCATATGACCTCTAATTTCAGAGCACTGGTTGATTATTTATTTAGGAGCTGGCAGCCAAGTGGCTTTGTCTCCAGGTGCTGGAGCCCCACACAGGCCATGGAGAGCCCCACACAGGCCATGGAGAGCCGACACAGACCATGGAGAGCCCACACAGGCCATGGCACACAGGGCATGGGGAGCCCCACACAAGCCATGCGAACCCCACACAGACCATGGAGAGCCCCACACAGACCATGGAGAGCCCACACAGACCATGCAGAGCCCACACAGACCATGGGGAGCCCCACACAGACCATGGAGAGCCCTCACAGACCATGGAGAGCCCCACACAGACCATGGGCAGCCCCGTCCTCCCTGAAGTGCTGGGGTCTGGCACTGCTGTGGCTCAGGGCTGCCCATCTCGTGCTTTTGGTCAGTCCTCACTGTTGGGGGCTTTGGTGACCCATCACCATTCTCCCAGAGCTCTGTACCACTCAGACTGGGATGACACAGCTTCCTGGGAGGAGCTGGGATCACCATGGCCGTGGGAGAGTAGGTCAGCACTCCCTGAAGAGGGAAAAAAAGAGGAAGGCTCTGTTCATCTCTGCAGCTGCATTCAGCCCAGGAAGACACAACCTACTAACTTTTATAATGATGTTACAATTCGGGATGAATTTTGAGTCTATTCTCTGCTCACTGTGATTTTTTTAAACTCTCTCTTGCAGAGGATTCAGAGTGTTTTTTCTGGGGACATACCCTTGGGCTGCAGTGTCCTTTTGTCTGTGACTTGTAGTATTCCTTTCCTTCATCCATGGTAGCAAAGGTTTGTCTTCCGCCAAACTTAGAAAAGCTAAGAAAGCTTTGGACATCACAGAGTTCATTTCCTTTTCCAGAATGATCCTAAAATATATTAAGACTCAAAACAATCACCACTAAATTACTTTTTGGAGAACTCTTGTATTTTCTGGTTCCCCAAAGGGAAAACAAGGGGATATTTGAAACAAGAGACATCTGCAAGCAGCCTGCAAGCTGAAATATTTTCTATCAGTTCTCCCACTGGATTTTTTTACCTGGAAACTCCTTTCCATTGAGTATTTTACTTTATGTTTCTGATTCAGAGCTATTTCTGGCGTGAAATTAAAGCCAAGCCTGTTACACATTAGCCTCTGTCTTTCAGGACACGTGCACATCACTGATTTCAATATTGCCACGATGCTGACGAAGGACAGCCCTGTCACCACCATCGCTGGCACGAAGCCCTACATGGGTGAGAACCAGGGGCAGTTACCTGTTCTTGAATCCCCATTTTGTGGGCTTGGGTGGACTGCTGTGGTGAGACACAGCTGAAGACAGTTTTGGTTAGAGCTGGGACTCTTTTCTTCTTGATCCCCATCAAAACATAGCCAGTTTGAAGTGAGGAGCACCCTGGAGAGGGGATGCAGGGTGGGGACAGGAGTGCCTCCCCAGAAATGCCTCAGTGCAGATGGGGAGTGTGCGTGTCCTGCTTCACGGGGGAGGTGAAGAGACACTTAGGCCACCTTATGCCTAGGTTGAGTGAATGTGCTTGTTCTGGAGCTCGTTTACTAGGAATGGTAGGCAACTCCTGTGTCAGTAAAAGGAGTTTGTCTTTTTGGGCTTTGGGGCAGAGAAGCACAGGGAGTTTCCTGTGGAGGGGACTGTGGGGCTGCTGGGTGGCCCTGGTGCAGGAGCATGGCAGCACGGGAAGGGCAGGGTCAACTGCTCTGTGTTGCCCATTTCCACTTGGGTGCAGCAAGGCAATTGTTTCCCCCTGTGTTTCACAGCGCCTGAAATGTTCAGCTCCACAAAACCCACCAGCTACTCCTTTGCCGTGGACTGGTGGTCGCTGGGAGTCACTGCCTACGAGCTGCTCAGAACTCGGGTATGTGTTTGCCTCGTGACCTGGCTTGCTCTGCCCTTGGACGTGCTGTTGGGAGGGTTAATGCTTTACAGCAGAGATGAGATGGCCAGGCTGAATTCAAGGCTTTAGAACTTATTACAGCAGAGGAAATCTTCACCAAGGTTCTTGCGATCATGGTCAGAGAAGCTGCTGCAACACAGAACAGCATGTTGTGGCAGTTGCCTGTGCAGCTGAGGGCCTCTGGATTGATAAAAGGGGGCAAGGAAGACAAGCAACAGCTCCTGAAGTTTGGGGTGCAATACCCTTTACTTGGAGCGTCTATCCCGCAAGGAAAAATAAAACTTGAAAAACAACCTTGTTGCTGTTGTAACAAGACTGAGCAGTCGGAGCAAATGATGGGAAAAGCCCAATCCCTGCCTGTGCCATCAGGGCTCTGCTGCTGACTTGGGCAAGTTGGGAGCTTTGTAGCTAGACAAATACATCAGTGTTTTGAATGTGCTGCACAAAAAAGTGGGACAAAATTTTAAAAATTATATTATTCTAAACAAAAGAATGTAATTTAAAGAGGAACATTTAAGATCCTGTGAAGCTCAGAAGCTTCTTTCAGTATGAGTATGCAAAACATGGTTTTTAAAAGCTCTTATCATCAGTCTTTACAGAAGATATTTTGATGAACAGATTTTTCCATTTGAATTTGTGTGTCTCAGTTGCAAGAGATCAGTTTACAGATATTGAGGAGATGTGGCTGTCTGCGATGTACCCTCCATAAACATCTTAACGTAATATTTGAGTTTTCCACCTATAATGCTAAATGAATGGCAGGACTGTGCATCACGTTGGTTTTTGACTTGATGGCACTGTTTCTAAAGGCAGGAGCAGAAATGCTGTCTTGTGCTCGTACGTGATGGCACAGCCGTGGTGAGATGGGGGCACCTGGGTGGCTGCCACGCGGGGGAAGGGGGGCCTTGAGGTCCATCTAGTACTGGCACATGTCAAGCACACTGCACCTGATCTGATCTCACTATTTATAGCTACTATTCTTTAAATGCACTTTTAGTACGCTCCTGCCTTCTTCCCCCCAAAATAAGGTAAAAATCTGTGAATCGAAACTTTTGAGATGGAAACACTCTGCCATTTTAAGTTCTCTCTCCAGGTAAATTGGCAGAATTGTAGATGGAAAATAAACAGGGAGGTGACTTCACCTGCGCTGTACAGTGCTTGTGTCACTGTGTCACTCACTGGTTGTGCACTGCATGTTGATGCAGGAGGAGTCCCTGGTGCTCCACTGTACCGTGTGCTCTTCTGCAATGGCTCACCTGTCCTGGTGACATGACAGTGGCCACAGGGCAAAAGGAACTGTGACCCTGCATCCTGATGCCCACCTGAGGCTGATGACCCTTCCTGGGACATCCTTTTCTGAGCTGATTTTATTGTTGGGGGATATTTGTCTTCTTTTCACCGGCATTGTCCCCAGCATGAGTGAAAAACGTTTTACAGGAGTATCAGGAGTGCTCTAACCACAGCACTATGTGTTACAGCCTTGTAAGATAAAAACACTGACCAAGCAAATTCCCACTGGCTGATAAGTCTGACTTCTGGGGTTTGCTCCTGCCTGTCCTGCTGTTAAATGCCCAGTTATTAGAGTAGTTCTTGCTGACATTTTGTTTTTCGACTGAACCATGGTCACACAGGGAGAGAGGTCCCACAGGAGGCTGGGGACTGGACAGTGAGACTGTGTGAAGCTTCTGTGTTCTAACCAGATTTCTCAAGAAGTCTGAAAAGCAGATAACTTCACGCTTGTCTTGTGGTGTTCCCCACAGAGGCCGTACCACATTCGGTCCAACACTTCCTCGAGTGAGATGGCTCACGTGTTCAGGACAGCTGCGGTGGCGTACCCGGCCGCCTGGTGCCCGGACATGGTGGCGCTGATCAGGAAGGTGAGGGGGTGCCCAGGGCTGCTGCCACCCCACTCTGCACTGCACGGTGGGAAGCGCTTGCAGAGGGTCAGGGCCAGGTCAGTGACCTTCAGAGCACTGTGTGGTAAATGCCAGCTGCACGAAGGTGGTGGCAGCGAGCAGCGCTGCGTCCCGGGCTGGCAGTGGTACAGCTGCTGCTGCACCTTCTCTCAGGACATGGGCAGCCTTGGCTTCCACGGTTTCCTCTATAACTTTACACTCTGGAATTTACTGACTTAGAAGCAGATATTGATATATGTGTCAATAAATTTGGGCCAAGAATCACATTTTTTTAATCCTCAAGAAACATTTTTTCCAGTAATGGAAATATTTGCAAGAAGTGCTGACACTGTTGTAATCCTTTGATGCCATGTGGTTTATGCACCACTCCAATTTTTTTCAATAAAGCTGTTATAAAAATTGCTTCAAAATCATTACTGGAATAATTTTGAAGCTGAAATCCCTTTTGAAATGAAGCCATAGCTTCAATAAACAAGACTATGGCTTAACAGTGGCAGCAAAGCTGAGCACTTACACCCCGCATAGTAGCACTGTGGCAAATTTTAAGGAACTATGTAAATAGTTTTTTAATTTCAAGTAAGTGTGGACTTTCAACTGTGTGGTTTTTCATCTTGTAGCTTTAAACTGTTCTTTGTTCCAAATAATATATATATGTATGTATTTTGTAATTTCTAATGAAATAGACTATCAAGCATTTTAAGGAAAAGAGGCTGTCAATTCTTTGCTGAGACAGAATCATGGCATATTTTCCAGAAAGAAAATTGCAGAATGTCTCCATTTGCTGAAAGTTCAATGAAGCCAGTATTTCATTCAGCCTAACAGTAAAACAGAATATTTGCTGCAGATGTCCTGTGTGTTGCTATGCTGGCGGCTTTTTCCTGGACCACAGCAGGCAGCAAGTCATGGAGGCTCCCTTGTGAATAAATAATACAATGTCACAATTTTTAAAATTTCCCAGTACTCCTTTGCATCTGGTTTAACAGCCATATGTATCATATATGAGCCCAACTGTGCTCCTTCCCGGCTCAGCCATCCCCTGTGGATTTCTGCGTTTATCACCAGCCCAGGCAGATGTTTGTCCTCGCGGAGCCGCAGCGCTGGCGTTGGGCTGGAGGCCAGAGCTCTGCAGAGGGAGCTGGGCACTGGGGACAGTGCTGCTGACTGGCTGCACGCCAGCACGAGCAGGGCTGTGCTGGTCACCTTGCCTGTAAATTCCCCAAAGGGTTTGGATCATCTGGTTTTCCTGCTGAGTTTTAGGAGTGCAAGATGTCAGGAGTTTATGCAATGTATAATCCTTGAACAGAGACCAGCTCAACCCTTTCCTTCCACACAAGTAATCCCTACAGCAATGTTAAAAAATTATGAAAATAAGCAATGTGAAGGCATGCTTTCACACTGGAATAAGAATATTACTTTAGTAGAGTGACAGAAGAGGCTGTTTTAAAAGCAGAACACAAACACCTGAGTGAGACTTCTCATTCCAAACAAATACTTATTTTTAACATTGGACAAATTGTTTAATGCCACTGTAATGCCTCATTGCCTGCTCCTACAATGGGGATAAAAGTAATTCATAAAAATGGGAATAAACAGAGGCAGAGCTTGTGAGCCTGCTGCATGCCCTGGTGAAGGGACTCTGAGCCAGAGCAGGAGAGGCACTGGTCCAAATGCCAGCGTTGATGCGGTGTCTCCGGCACCATGTGTCCTCAGCCATGCTCCACAGAATGTGTGCCCTGTGGGGATGGTCTCATCTCTTCCCTTTATCTCTTGCTGCAGTTGCTCGAGCTGAACCCCAAGAAACGTTTTTCTCAGCTGAAGGACATCCAGTCCTTCCCGTACCTGTCTGATGTGAACTGGGATGCTGTTCTCCAGAAAAGAATAATGCCAGAATTCATTCCCATGGTAAGGCCATTTGAGTGTAAAGGTTCCTCACATCCAGCACTGGCACATGGGACATTCTGACAAATTTCCACTGAAGCATCAGGTGTCACAAGGGGAAAAGAGAGACCAGGGCAGAGCTGTCTCTTCCCTCTGTAGCAAAGAGTAGTGGAGGGAGACTACAGTGTGGGTTCCCCAAAACTGATATGCCCTGTTTGTAATGTTCCTGGAATTTCTGGGTGCAGAACTGGTGTTGCAGCCCACTGGGCTGTGCATCTGTGTGGGATGGACAGTGTCTGTGAGCCCTCTCGTGCTGACCCATGCTCTGAGCCATGCTGCTCCCCACATCTAAAAACCTAGTGCACCAGGATGGGCTCAGCAGCACCTGGAGATCACCCACTATCTTATGGGAATTGTTTTCTCCTGCAATGCTTCCCCCAACAAGCTCATTGTTAACAGTAAATAGCACATACTAGATTTGTGTTTATGGGCCTTTTTAAATTGAATTAAACCAGCACATAAGTAACATAACCCTTATGGAGAATAGTCCAACTACTCCAACTCAACTCCAGCAGAAGGTGAGCTAAATTATGAATATTTGTTCATTGTATATCCACCCTTGTTGCTGGGTTTCTCTGTGGTGGGTATGATTCTGTACTGCTTGAAGGCCAGTTCCACTGGGCTGTTGTGCTACTCTCAAAAAGGCACAACCCAACCAGGACACTGTCCTCATCCTCATTGCCACTCCAAAGCAGCCAAAGGGCAGAGCAGAAGCAGGAGCACAAAAGGAGCCACTGTGACACCTTGAATATGGCCCGTAGCTGAAGGGACTGATAAAGAAGATCAGGAGTATAGCCAGTGCTCTTGGCTGCATGTGCAATTATAATTAGTGCTTTTTTTTTTCACAAAATTCAGCTCCCAGATGCAGTCCAGGTTATAAGAGACTCCTTAAGACAGTCTCTGATCACTTAAGGCCACTTCTCTCTCCCCTCCAGAAAGGCAGACTGAACTGTGACCCAACCTTTGAACTGGAAGAAATGATCCTGGAATCCAAACCTCTTCACAAAAAAAAAAAGCGCTTGGCTAAGAAGGAGAAAGACACAAGCAAAAGCAATTCATCCCAGGTGAGAGCAAAGAGGTACAAGCATGGTCAAGGAGGCCTTTAATTTTTCAGTGACTGCCATCTAGCAAGACCACAGTAAACTGAACAGAATATTTTTTTTTTTCCATTGTGACCAACTTTATTCCTAAAACACTCCCCATCTTCCCTGTGGTGAAGGGCAGGATGTGCATCTACTGCTTTACTGCAAGAGGAGAGCCTTAATTCCATTCTCCCCACTGCAGGGCTAAAGATGCTCTGTGCCTAAACATATTGCCATTGTCATTGAAACTGTCCTTGCAACTGTTTTCTGTGTAAACTGTGAATTTATTCCCTGTCTCTTTTATTTTTCTATTCAAATGTGAAAGGTCAGCCACCTCCAGAAGCACCTGGAAATGCTCCAGAGGGACTTCATTGTTTTCAACAGAGAAAAGTAAGTTTTGATCCAGAGGCAGCATAAGAGGCACTGGCCTTTGCCAAAGCCTTTGACAGTTTTTGGGGGCCCAGGGCAGGGGGGACTGTGGGGGCCGTGTGTTGGAGGAGCTTGGGGCACTCGGGGCTGGAGGAGCTGTGGGCTGAGTGGCAGCTCATGCCAGGCAGTGGGGAGCTCCAAGACAGCTGTACTTCTATGGGGTCTTGGCACTGCCTGGGCTTTTCCTGACAGCTCAATCATCCTTTTCTCTCCCCAAGGGTAAGACCCCACCATGACAGCATCCAAGAGACCATGACAAAAAGTGGAGGCCCACACAAGGAGGACAATCAGAACAACAACCTCTGAGAACAGCTCAGCCCCTGCAGGGGACCTCCTCATGGGACTGGGCTCACCCACCCATGCACCTTCACAATATCAGGCTGAAGACTTGTCCTCTGCTGCTGGCACCCTGCCAGTAGCCCGGGGCACAGAGGAGAGCTGGGGCACCCACTCCCTCAGCTTTCCCCCCCCACAGCCAGAGGGTCCTGAGCATGGGGGACAGGCTGTGGGGGCTGCCTTGCAATTGGCCACAGCTGGTTACACTCAGATCCTGTTATGTTGCCTTTCCTGGGGGCAGGAATGGGACCACAGGACAATGGATAAGACAGTGTCCAACGTTTTGGCTTGGCTGGCAGGTGCCCCAGCCGCTGGTGTCACCATGCAGGAATGCTGCAGTGTGCCGTGGTGCTGAGAGGTGCCCACGGCCGTGCCACAGGGCTCGGCTGAGGCTGGCATTCCCCGAGCATGGGCTCAAGGCTGGCTGCCCCGGGGGAAGAGGTGGCTCCAGCTGCAGGATCTTCACCAATGCATTGTGACAGTAGTGGCCTTTGGTTATAGACAGCTCCTGCCAACACCCTGTGAGGGAGGGCACAGGAGGCTGGAGATGAGCTCCTCCCTTAGCTGGGAGGAGGCAGCAAAGCTGTCCTGTCCCATAGAGAGCTATGTACCCAGCAGGGCTGGCATGGTGGGGGGCCAGTGTGGACAGATGTGGACACCAAGCAGTAACAACTAGGTGGTGGTGAATCCAGGTGCTTTACCAGTCTAGCCTGAAAAATGCATTCACCATCATGTTAAAACTGCTGCAGCTCACTGAATCTGATGGGGTTTGGCTTCCAAAACCAGAGGGGAATTTGAATGTGTATTTTGAATGTCTCTACCACTGAAATCACACTTGATATAAGCAAGAACTGTCTTCAGGAACAACTGCACTGCTGGTGTGGTCTTTCCAAGACTGAGATTGGCCAAAGCATTGCTTCTGTGGTAATGCCAGGAATTATGCTATTATTTAAATGCTTGGACAGGCCTGAGGTTTCACCTTCCTTATTTGACATTTTTCCCATTCTTAGCAATGTAATGAACATGTGATGAAGTGTTTGCCTCCCATTAACCCAAAGGTAAACGTCCTCTCTGACCCATGTGTCTGTGCAGGCTTGCAGCGGGTGTCCCAGCACCGAGCAGTGCAGTTTGTGTCTAAAACCAGGCTTTCGTTTGGTGTCTTCCGTGTTGTGGTCCCTCCTGCAGTGCTGGGGGCGGGTGTCCCACGGCCCCCCAGCCCCTCAGGGTGCCGGGCTGAGGGGAAGCTGCCCCACTCCGTGTGCTGCAGCCTCCCCACCGCCCTGCCTGTACAAAAAGCCCCGGGAAAGGCGACCCTGCTCCGCCCAGGGAGCTGTAAAGCTGGAGCGGAATTAATTCACCAGTAAGAGGGTATGGGAGTCCTCAGTGAGTGTCATTGTCATGGGAAAGTCACCTTTTCCTGCCTAGTCACAACACACCTTTCCCTGCTCCATCAGAAGGCGCCCCAGCTCATGTCACAGTGTGCTTGCTGTCCCCCTCCCCAGCCATGCTGCCTTTCAAGCCATAGGACTTCGCAGTGGGGTGGGGACTCCATGTCTCTCTGCCTTTGACTCATCATTCCCAGGAAGGCTATCCAGAGCACCTCCAGCGTTCTCCACTGATCCTCTGCTCTCTGCCCAGTCCTACGGCAGGTCTGGTGCCAGGCAGCAGCAGGCAGGGCTGTGCTGACAGCTGTCCCTGTCTCCTGCACAGCACATCGCTATCATTGCCTTGCTCTGGTGCAGGCAGAGGTTCACATACCATAAGTGTATTTATCTGGAATCCCAGCTCTGCTCCTCACTAGGGAAAAATCTGCTGCTGCAGAAATACCTCTCCACTGGCTAGTCAGAAAAGCCCCAAAACAACTGAAGTACTTAAATGGAAAGAACATTGCATATTAAAAAATTTTAAAATGTAGAAATTTAAAGATTTCTGCCACCATCTCTCTATTCCCCTCTTCCTCTGTACACAGAGGCACAGTCTCAGCTCAATCTCTACCAGGCAACAGGAAAAATCCTTAATTACTTGATGGAAGAACTTGACAAAGCTTGTAAGCACAGCCTTCCCCACCCTGGCACAACTATTATGGCCTGGCCCCTCAAGGACTGCGGCAGAGACAGCTTGTCCTGCTCGAGGTGCAGATGTGTAAAAAAAAAGTATTTAAAGGTCAAATACCAAAGAAGGAAGGAGGAAAGTGTATTTGTTTAGCATAGCTAAAACTGACCCTTTATTTTTGTAATCTTTAAACAACAATCACTTTTTTTTTACACGCTTTGCAAGCTTTAAAGGACAGTGTCTCATTCTAACAGACAATGCTTGATGGAAGGGGAGCATTTCAGTGACAGGAGTCCACAGAAAACAGCCTCCAAGGCTGTCTGGCCAGGATGACCCCAAAGCCGTGCCCAGGCAGTGCCATGTTGAGGCCGGTCCCTGTCAACACATAGAAGACTGGCACAGCTCCTGCCAGGCAGTCCCAGCCCATGGTGGCCACGCCAGGCTCAGAGCCTGCATGCACAAACTGAACAGCGTTACAAATACTTGCATTGTGCTGTTTTGCTAATACCTTCATCTGAGAAGCTACACCAACACCCTGACACATGCAGCAGTGAGCACTGCATGGTGTTTCCCCGATAGCCTGATGCTGCAGCCCCCTCCAGCCCCAACGCCACCCAAACCCCTCTGCTGCCCCAGCCCAGCTCCCTGTGGGTGCAGCTGGGCACTGCCCCTGCCAAGCAGCAGGGGCCTGAGGAAGAGAAGAGTCAACTGACAACATGAGCTGTTTGAAGGAACAACTTTTTTTTTAATAAAGTGTACAAAGTAGTAAAACTCCTTACACAAGGTGCTGTGACAGCTGTTACAGAGATGATTCGAGCTCCCCCACAGGCCTCATGATGAAACGGCAGAGCATTGGGTGGAGATGAAGGAGATGAATGTGACAGACCCACCTCTCCCTACGAGCTCAGTGCACCTGCCCTCCCCATCTGACATCCTGCCTCCGGCCAGACCCTGCCCCTCACCTGCCTGGCCGGGTCACCCCCTGGGCCATTCCCACTGTCCCACACCACGGCATCCCACACACGTTCAACACCAATAACATTGAACTGAGCAACCTGTCCGAGCAGCATGCATACAGAGAGGAAGAGCAAAACACAACCCAACCAAACCCACAACAGTAACAACAACAGAACTTTAAGGCTATGCAAAACCAAAATGAAGCAACATCTTTAAAGCTAGGTAGCAAGTAGCATTTGTGAAACATAAGGCTTGAGGCTTATTGATTCTTCAGAACAGGTTTATTTCTTTTCATTCTTCAACACCAAGGTACCATTTTTCTTCCTTTGCTTGAACAGGGATTTGGTTTCCTCCTCAGCCGGGACATTTAGCTCAGGGAGGTGATGTTGGAGCGGCCTCCCGGGGGTGCGACAATGCGCTTGCTTGCTGAGCGCATGCCTTCATCAACCTGGGTACCTGGGATAGGATGAGAAAGTACAAAGGGAACAGGGAAAGTAAAGTTAAGAGCATCTTCTTCAGAGGACTGAGCAGTCAGGCAGCCTGGAGTCTTGCCAAGGCCCTCCAGAGGCTATCTACTGCAACCTGCTCCCTTCTCCAACTCCAGCAGCAACTCACAGCCGCAGTGGCTTTAAAGCCTCTGCAGACGCTTCGTGAACAGACCCACCCAGCAAGAACAGCATCGGATGCTGTGCTGGCCTCCATGGCCACGGTGGCCTCCAAGTAATCTGCCTGGCTGTTACTGCAAGGTGCATCTCCAGCCATGTCCTTTAAGGGACACACGGGATCCTTCCCTGCCATGATCCACTCTTGTGCTTTACCTTGCCGCAGGCCACCTCTAACTGCCCCCTGCCCCAGGCCAGGGACTGGAACATATGGCCAGTGGCTCTGCCCCCTGCCCCAGGCCAGCCACCACATGTATTCACCTGACAGGCTGAATCCAGACTGATGGAGATTCCTGACGGGCGGTGTCTGACGTGTGGGGGACCCCCTAGTTGACCCCGCAGGGGTGCCCCCCTTGGGGGTGGTGGTCAGGTCAAACACGGGTCCGTCATATAAGCCCCGGGGCACAGCATGCACCTCTGCCATCTGTCACCAGAGAGAAGAGGACAATGACACTTCTCTGAGCCCAGGGAACATCATGCTCCAGCCATTCACCGCTCATCAGTCCCCCTGCAGAAGGATGTCACATTGCTATGTACTGTAATTCCTGCAGCACTGAGGCCTGGCACAGCCCCACTGCCCTGTAAGGTGTGCAGAGCCAGTGCAAGAGGCTATCACCCACATGGGGTTTATGCTGCACAAATCAGGGAGGAGAAGGCGATTTTGGCCAATCTCTTCATTTTAAGCAGTGTTTCCCTCCAGACTGTCTCCAGACTCCTGCTGCAGCAGGACAGGATGAAGACATTACCACTGCTAACCTTAAGGAGCACCTGTCTCTACCATGGCACATCACTAACACAAAGGGCTCCCTATCCAAGCCTCAGCTATTCAGTACATTCAAAATACACCAGCAATTTGCAGCACTGCTTACAGGGTCCAGCAAGAACAGCAAAGGAAAACCAACCAGTTATTAAGGGCAATTTGGGCTAACAATAATCCTGTCTCCTGGCATCCCCACCTCCTCACCTTCCTCCTGGCTTTGATGCGCTTGTAGACGTAGTCAGAGAAAGGGCTGCTGGGCAGGAATCGTCCAGTCCCCTGGGTCACATGCAGGTTGCCATCCTCCAGCATGATCTTCCCCTGGCATATGACAACCAGTGGGGCCCCACGGAGCTCCATCCCCTCAAAGATGTTGTATTCAGCCACCTGCAGCAACCCCAGGATGATGGTCAGGAGGGACAAGAGCACTGCCTGCCCACTCAGGGTGGGTCAGTCCCCACACCTCACTGCTGGAGTCACCAACTGCAGGCAGGAAACACCTCCAAAGCCTTGCATGCTCAGAGGCCTTCTGTAGCTCACTA